GCGAGGTTGGACTCAGGGGCTTTGATCACCCTGCTCAAGTGGAAGGTGTCCCTGCCCGGGGCAGGGGTTGGGACTGGATGAGCGTTAAGCTCCCTTCAACCCACACCAGGCTGGGATTCTATGATCCTGCTCCCTGGTGAGTTCTTCCTGGATCCCCCCTACCTGCAGAGCATCTTCTCAGGGGGTTTTTGGGATGCCCAAGCCTGCACGGAGAGCAAACCCATGGCCATGGTCTCGTGCAAACTGATACTCGGGGAGCTGGTGTGGAGATTTGGGGTGTCCTGGAGCAAAACCACTGCTCTCCAAAGCATTGTCTTTGTGGTGTGCGGGTAGAGCCACATGCCCCTCACACTTGCAGCAAGGGGGGGTGGGGGGGGGAAGCTCCATTAGGGAATGTTGGGCAAAGGAAGCAGCAGTTGGAACCCATTTAGCATCGTATTAGCCTGATCATAAATATAATGGGCTGATTGGCTCAGCCAAGAAGCATCAGGATAGGTGCTGGAGCTGCACAAAGGCATCTTCATTTCTCACCTCTTTATGTCTTGGTTTAAGTTGTATTATATCGGGGTGGGGGGGGGAAGCTCCATTAGGGAATGTTGGGCAAAGGAAGCAGCAGTTGGAACCCATTTAGCATCGTATTAGCCTGATCATAAATATAATGGGCTGATTGGCTCAGCCAAGAAGCATCAGGATAGGTGCTGGAGCTGCACAAAGGCATCTTCATTTCTCACCTCTTTATGTCTTGGTTTAAGTTGTATTATATCCACTGGCTATTTTTAGTTTTAATGTTCCTTTCCAAAGCAAGCTGATCCCTGACCACGGTGAGTGATGCTCTGCACATGCAGGGGGGCTCCAGGGAAGGATGGGGGGTCCCCAAGGAAGAGGCTCCTGTGCATGGGACACGTGCAGTGCAAAAACCTGGAGCACTTACAACAGCGATGCCATTTCTTATGCTAAACTTGAACTTAGAAATAATCCACTTTTCTATAGCATAGACCCTTTATGGGGCTTCTGTGCCAATAAAAGCATCGCAGCAATCTCTGTGAACAAGCATGTTTTGTCACATCTGCTTAGAACTTCTTTAAGGACCTGGGATAAAGCATTTACCCTGCGCAAGGTCATGGTTACATCTCATTACAGTGCTCTCTTTAATAGTGCTCTGATGGGAAAGCGTGGGGATTTATTTTCCAACAAATGTCTCTTGCGCTCCTCCAAAATGCCAATGGCCAGACAAATGATGGGTTCTGGTTTAGTGCAGCAGCTTGTTCTTTGCCTGTTTCTTCTTAAAAGGCTTTCTTTTTTTTTGGCTTAATGGGAGAAGGCAAGTGATGTAGTTGAGATCCAAATGTGGTATTTTTAAACATAAAAAGCAGAAGTAAATGGATGGTAGGGGGTGAAATCGGATCTAAGTATAGAGGGAGTAAATCTAACTAAATTGGCTTTGAATATATGGGCTCATCTGTAGGATGGGGAGTATTTCCATTATCTCCACACACTCCCTGCACCCAGGGAGCCCTGGTCTCATTATCCCTCTGGGAAATGATTAGACTTGGCTGGGTGATAAATCTCAGCAGGCAACAGGGGATCCATCCCCTGCCTTTTGCAATGTTTTGGCCATCTCCGTAAGGGAATGTGTTTGATAACGCGCTCTCCGGGTGCACAGTGTGGTGATGCTGCGGTGACCAGCGTCAAGGCTGTGCTGTGAGTTGAGGTCTCACCACCTTTTCCTCTCCTTGCCCACCTTCCTGCCTGTGATGCTGCCGGTACCCAGGGACGTGGCGGACACAGGGGGTGTTCCCTGAGGAGATGCTGCTGAAGGTGCCCAGTGACATCCCGGTGCTGTGCGCTGCCACCCTGAGCGTCAACCCCTGCACAGCGTACCGCATGCTGGCCGACTTCGAGACCCTGGCGCCAGGTACGGCTTTGCTGGGTGGAAAGAGTATTCCAGGTGGATTTGCCAGTCGTTCCCGCAGTGAAAGTCTGGATTTATTCATATCCAGGTGACTCCGTCATCCAGAACGCCGCCAACAGCGGCGTGGGCCAGGCTGTCATCCAGATTGCCAAAGCCTCCGGCATCAAGACCATCAACGTGGTGAGGGACAGGTGGGTCCATGGGGAGAGGAGAAGGTCTCCTGTGGGGCAGGAGCTGCCCTCAGCCTGGGCTGGAGGTTAGCAGGAGATTGGGCAAGTTTGGGAGCTGGATCTGGTCGTCCTGCTCATCCAACCCAGGATTTTCACCTCTTTGCTGCTCCAAGGTGTCCCTCAGCCTCTGCCCTCTTGTCCTTAAGCTGTGTCCGAGCAGGAGGGAGGAGAAGGTGACCCTCTACTTTCTGGCTTATTGAGTCTTTGGTTTCTTTTCTTCTCCCCAGACCTGATCTCCCAAAGCTGGTGGAGAGGCTGATGGCCCTGGGTGCAGACCATGTTGTCACAGAAGAGATGCTGAGAAAGCCAGAAATGAAAGATATATTTAAGGTACCTCAATGCTGATGCCACCAAAGAGACCATCCAGGGCTCTCCCTGCAGTTCAGTGGTGCAGGGAAAGGTGCAGGGATGGTGGGAAGGACAGATCTCCCTCTTCATCAGGATTTAGCCCCAGGAGTTGAGGGCTTTTGCTGCTGCCGTGAGGGCCAGATTATAGATCTTAGCTGACCTCAAGTAAATGTTGAGGTTAAGGCAGTTTTTCCCTCAAGAACCATGATCCCATCCTTGAAAGGAGCCCTAAAGTTTGGGAATCCTCTCGCTAACTCTTGCAGAGCATCCCAATGCCCCGGCTCGCCCTGAACTGCGTCGGAGGCAAAAGCACGACGGAGATGCTGCGGCACCTGCAGTGAGTTTGTCTGTGTGGTGGCTTGGGCATGGGACTGGGGACATCAGCCAGCACCAGAGGGTCCTGCTCTAGAGGCCCTGAAGTGCAAAAGGTGGCCTGAGATGATGCTTGATGATGTTGGTCATCACTGAAGTTTGGAGAGGGGACATGAGTGGAGAAGTGGGGTTGGAAAATAGCAGTGACTTGAGGGTAACCCATCATCACTGTGTCCCCCAAATGCTGCTGGTGGCTGGAGGCAGCTGAGGGCTGGGCCTGTCTGTACAGTGGTGGGGTTGGGTCAAAGCTGCATGTTGGGGACCACATAACCAAATACCCCTTTCCTCTTCCAGGCCCAAAGGCACCATGGTCACCTATGGCGGGATGGCAAAGCAGCCTGTGATGGTGCCTGTGGTGGGTACTGGAGGTGTCCTTGGTTTCCCTCAGGGCATGTTGAGGCCCCAACACCC